ATGATGATGTGCAGCCACTACCCTCTGCAGTTGCCGCATTGGCACCCTTCTTCCCTCACTTTAACGGAAACGGAGCTCCCCAAAGTCCAGGCAGCGGTCACACTAATCTGCTAATCAGTCATCAGAACCCAACAGGCAGCTACTACCCGAGCTCTAGTCAGCAGCCCCTGCAGTCTCAGCATCATCCTCACCCCCAGAACCACCCCCAACACCACTACCTTCATCAGGTGGATTCTCATCACCCTCACGCCTTCTTCAGCAACTCCCTCTCTCATCAGCAAGCCCCCTCATCACATCATCAGTCCCCTCAATCCCATCAGTTTTCCACAGCTCACCAGTCGAGTGCATTCAGTCCGAACGCCAGCATGTACTCCACGTCCATTCAGAGTCAGTTCGACTTTAGCAAGTTCAACTCTACGCCTCCTCTGCACGCCTACGGCTTTCAGTCGCAACCATCACCTCATGGACCACCACATGGTCTTCCTCCCCCGCCACCACCGCCACTGCCTCCCAGCTCTCAGCTGCTCTCCAATGGACAGCAGGGACTGTCTCAGCAACAGCAACAACAACAGCAGCAACAGCAACAGGGACAGCAAATTCACAACTCCCAACAACTCCTCAACGGCAATGGAGTCGGCAGCGGTGGTCAAACCTTCCACACACTGTCCAGCCAGTACAACTTCAGCCAGCTGCTGCCACCTCCTCCGCCTAACATGGTCGTTGGACAGATGTCGGCGCCAAATGGCCTGCTCAGCTCGCAGCACCACGGCCTGTTGAGCACTGCCTCGATGGTGGCAGCATCCGCGGCGGCCGCCGCAGCGTCCACCACTGCCGCCGCCAACATCAGCAGCAGCCTCTCGCCCGGATCCTCAGGACTACNTTCACAACTCCCAACAACTCCTCAACGGCAATGGAGTCGGCAGCGGTGGTCAAACCTTCCACACACTGTCCAGCCAGTACAACTTCAGTCAGCTGCTGCCACCTCCTCCGCCTAACATGGTCGTTGGACAGATGTCGGCGCCAAATGGCCTGCTCAGCTCGCAACACCACGGCCTGTTGAGCACTGCCTCGATGGTGGCAGCATCCGCGGCGGCCGCCGCAGCGTCCACCACTGCCACCGCCAACATCAGCAGCAGCCTCTCGCCCGGATCCTCAGGACTACTCTCTTCCTCCTCCTCTTCCCATCCAAATCTCATTAAATTGGAGTCCCCTGTGGGCATCAACGGAAGTCGGTCCTCGAGCAGCAGGGCGAGCAGCAGCTCAGGAGGCAGTCAGGCGTCACCCTCAACGCCGAGCTCCAGCAGCAAGGGCAAGCACAACAGCCACCAGCACAGCAATGGCGGCTCAAGGACTTCGTCGCACAGTCTGGCGACGCTTGCAGCCGCCAATGGAGGCTGCAATGGCGGTTCCAATGGGAGCGCCTCCTCAGTGGCCTCCAGCACGACGCCCAACTCGCTGTCGGTGGAGTGCGTCGTCTGCGGCGACAAGTCCAGTGGGAAGCACTACGGACAGTTCACCTGCGAGGGCTGCAAGTCCTTCTTCAAACGCTCCGTCCGGCGGAATCTCACCTACAACTGTCGCGGCAACCGCAACTGCCCCGTGGACCAGCACCACCGCAACCAGTGCCAGTTCTGCCGCCTGAAGAAGTGCCTAAAGATGGGGATGCGACGCGAAGGTAGGTCACCTTTTGATCATAGTACGGCTCCCTTTTTTCTTCTCTTCTTTCTCCCCTTTCCCCTCTATCATACACTTGCATGCTTTTGAGCTCTTTTTCATGCGTTCTATGCGTGGTGCTCCGGGTGTTCAAATTGTTGCTGTTGATACTAAACAAGTGAGGATTAGGATTAGGGTTGCAGATATCCAAAAGATTGTTGGAAACAACATAAAAAATGGTGATCACTGCAGTTGATGCACACACCTAGCTTCCCTTCTCCTCTTTCGCAAAGCTTGACCTGCACCGCTAATTGTGCTCCCTGCTCTCTGGCTCACTCTGGCTTTCCCAATCCGGCGTTCCAAAAGGCAGTTTCAGGACCCGCCTCCTCTCAACTGCAGTAGCCAGTCGTTTGGATCAGAGCAGCTAATTGCGTTGTGGAAGTTGCAGTTGCAGCAGCAGCGGTAGCAACAGTAAATTGGCACCACTCGTTACGCGATGGTCACAAAGAGCGCGCGACACGCTCGCGCCGCTGACGCGTGCCACTCTCGGCGGCTATATAGCTGTTCCTGGAACGCACACACACAGAGACCCGGGAACAAGAGAGAGTACACAGTGAGAGTGAGAGTGCCGCAAACGCAGACTGCCACTGGAATATAGTCGGTAGTCGGTCGGGCAGTCAGTAGTCAGTTTGGTGCTGAACTAGACTAGTCGTCGACGACCAGTGTTGGTTGTGTCCGTGAGTGTTCGCCAGTGTGTGAAAGTGTTTTTCAGCAAATAAAATTGGATCGGGTGCTCCTCAACCTGAAAAAGCATCCTCGCCAAACTGCATCTAGTCACTGCAAACATCTAGTCAACACATCAACCACCACCAGTCATGTCAATTGAAATTCTACTCAGCGATGAGCCCTTTCTGCAGGCTCGGGACCGCTGTCGAAAGCAGGAACAGCAACAGCAGAAGCAGTCCTCGTCATCGACGACCATCACTGAAATCACAGACAGTGCTGCTGACGCCATTGCTGCTGATGCTGGTGATACTGGTGCAGATGATGCCGATGATCACCACAGTGAGGAGGTGATAATGGAGAATGAGGACTCTGCTGACGAGTCGGTGGACGTCGACGATGACGGCAGCCTTGTCCTGGTTGAGGAGGCGCAGCGCATTGACTCGCTGAGAATCACTTCCACTGCCGGGCGAAGCATTCCAGTGAGTGAGGATTCTCGCAGCAAGTCACCACCACCACCAATGCAAACATCGGAATCAAAAGCAGAGGTTAACAACAACTCAGCTAGAAGTAGCAAAAAGAAGCGCAGTCTGGTGAGTCGAGATGATGCACTCCTGAATGCCGGCTCTGAGGATGGATTCGGCAGTTCCACTGAATCAAAGTTTGGCAGTTCGGCGACTGAACTGGAGCCACAACAAACTGGCACTACCACTAGCAAAAACTCCAGCAGCAGTTGCAAGCCAAAGAAGCACTGCTTCTCTGAGAGCACCTCTGAGCACTTTGGATCAACCTCATCAAAATCAAAACAAAACAAACACAGCGACTCTTCTCTCAGCTCTGCTCTGGTCCTGTACAGTGGCCCATCTAGTTCAACTGGATCAGGCGCTCTGGTACCTCACAGCAGCAGCAACAGCAGCAGTGGCAGTCTAGCCAAATCGAACCACAAAAGCCACTCCTCATCAGCGCACTCCTTCAACCCCAACTCGACACTTCCCTTTCCATCCTTTCTTGTGCCGCCTTTTTTTCTTCCAAATCCAATGGCGAATCCAAACAGCAATCACCACCACCATTCCCATCATTCTAGTCACATAAAGCACCTCAATAACGACACAAACAACAACAACATCAGCAGCCAAGCTCTGACTGCCTTTGAGAAGGCCCAGGCAATGGCCAACTTTGAGGGTTGTGGCAAGGGCGGGAGCAACAGCAGTAGCTTCAATAGCTTAGGCTCTGCAGTGCCTCCCTGCGCCTTCTTCGGCGCCATGCTTCCCATGCCCTTTGCCGGTTGCTACCCACTGGCGCCTGCCGGCGCTGCTGCAGGGCCTGCCACTGTTCCCACGCCTGGGTCCACTGCCTCCTCTCTGGCAACGCCCACCCCTGAGCAGCAGCAGCAATTTCTGGCCGCCGCCGCCAGTCTGTACTTTTACCAGCAGCAACAATTTGCGGCGCACTACGCCGCCGCCACGCAGCAGTGGTCGGCCCACCTGGCGGCAAACGCCCCCTCCTCCTCTTCCTCTACCACCTCTTCCTCTTCCGCACACTCTAACTCTCATTCTCATTCCAATACCACTTCCTCTTCAGCTGTCCAGCGTGGTCGTGTTCCTCTGACGCCCACCCATCCTGGGGCCTTTGCCGGCGCCCACAGTCCGCACAGTGTCCTGGCGGCAGCAGCGGCGGCTGCAGCCATGGGCCTCAGTCCGACGGCTCTGAACGGCTCACAACTGAACGGAGGTGGCCTGGACGGCTCGGGTCATCCACACGGGCCACTGGTCAACGGTGGTAGTCAGAACGGCCTACAAACGTCAGCAAACGGCGCCTCTTCCTCTTCGTTAAACTCCAGTGGAGGATCAGGTTCGGCAGTAAACGGCGGCAGCAATGGCCACGGCGGAGGCGGACATGGTGGTCATAGTCATGGTCACTCATCATCCTCCGTTCCCTCGTACAACCTCTCCTCCTATGTGCAGCTGCTGCTGCGAGCCGAGCCCTACCCGGAGCGAATTGCCCAGTTTGTGGCGCAGACGAGCACCAGCGGCATGATGCCGGTGGACACCGTCTGCGAGTTCGCCGCCCGCATCCTCTTCTCCGCCGTACAGTGGTCGCGCAACATTCCCCACTTTCCCGAGCTGGCCATTCAGGACCAGGTGGCGCTGATGAGGGCCGTCTGGAGTGAGCTCTTCATCCTCAACGCCTCGCAGTATTCGATGCCTCTGAATGCGGTCTCACTGCTGGCGGCGCACATGTAAGTTAATTGAAATTTTTGTTCTGAAAAAAACCTTCAATAACACCAACCCAATTCTTAATCAAAATCTTCAGTGGCGGCGGAGCACCTGAACGAATGCTGACCTTCATGGAGCAGATGCGCAGTCTGAACACTCAGGTGGAGAAGATGACCAGTCTGCATGTGGACAGTGCAGAGTACAGCTGTCTCAAGGCGATTGTCCTCTTCAATCCAGGTAAGTGGTGCACACTTTTTTTGATTATACACAAAAACTGCCATACATCATTTTAACACCAAGTAAGTCACAAGCAGTCAGTCAGATAGGTCATCCTGTGAGGTGACATAGAGTCAGCAGCATCTTTGACCTACTCGACCTCTGACCAGAGAGGATCATCTCACTAGCTGGCTGGCTGTGTGTGTTCTCGTGGTCTCGTGCGCCGTCAGCAATTTGCAGTTGCAGTTGCAACTCCAATACAAAGGCAGCATTAAAAGCCTACTGGCGAGGCGTTCAAAGTTCGCCCTGTGTGTGTGTGTGTTTGTAGTCTGCCCCTTGTGTATTACCATGACTACTATGATTCGGCGCTATTCAACTTCTACTACTCGATACTACACAGCAATCTTGAGCAGATTGTCTTCCATGGGGAAAGAGAGCTCAGTCTTGGGTTTTGTTTGCTCAAGCACAAGCACAGTTCAGGGCAGCAACAGCAGCAGCTAGCACACATTTTCGCCTGACACTCAGCCTTGCGATAAACAGAGCAGTCATGGCAAGCAGCATCAAAGCAGCAGCAGTTCAGTCAGTCAGTCAGTCAACAAGTCTCCAGTGAAGGAGAAAGGGAGGGGAGCAAGTCAAAGGACAGAGGTCACGGCATGAGGGCGTAGGTCAGCGATAGCTGTAAGAAAGCTCAAGGAGAGGGAGAGAAAGAGAGTGCGAAGAAGGCTAAGAAGGTTAATGTGGCAGACAGATAGACACTTGTCGGCTTGCCGACGCAGAACTGACTCGGTCAGGGGTGCCTCAGTGGCCTGTCCACTCGCCAAGAGATGGATGGTGTGACGCCAAGGATGATGATCTCCACCACCATTCACTTGTGATCATCATCTTCATCATCAGGCTTCCAATCGATGCCTGTGTGCAAGGGCAAATCAAATTAGCAGTAGCAGAAAGGCAGTGAAGGAAAAGAAAAAGAAGAAGAGTCAGGACAGGACCAATTCGTTGGCCATTCTATTAGTGCGGGGTGTGCATGAGAGGGAGACAGTGACTGAGCGAAGAGAGAGTCCATCGATAATTGAGCCAGTGGCCAACAAAATGTGCAGTGGTCGTCATCGTCGTGGCACACAAGGTCAGGTCAGAGAGCACTGAGAGGTAACAGAAAGAGAGCTAGCTGAGAAAGATGGGCAAAGCTGGCAGTTAGCAGCACTACCATCTAGTCCCACTCACTTGTGTGTGTGCTTGCACGAAGTGCCCCAGGGATAATTTAGATGTTCGATTGGCAGTACTAGTGATGGCCTGCACACTCTCTGTCAGGTAAAGTAGAGCAGAAAATGATGATGATGATGAAGAAACACAAACATATTCCTCACTGCTTGAGAACGGTGCCAAGAGGCGAGGGGAGCGCACATCTCGGTCCTCGCTCTCATTTTCTTCACCGCCTCCTCTCTTTCTCGTTTTCTCAGCCAGCTAGCCCCACTCGATCAGACAGAAAGAGACAGGGAAAAACTGGCCTAAGCCCTAAGCACACTCAAACTGGCTGCTGCTCATCTGCCTCGGCGGCGTTCTCATTTTCCATCCACCATCCTCACTGCACACTAATAAAACAAAAAATGCTGCCACTCATCGTCGTCTTTGTCGTCGTTCAAGGTCTCTCGGTCTTTCCTTCACTCTCGTGGCAGGTTCTGCCGTGGCAGTTTGGAGTGAAAGAAGATAGCTCTGCTCTTCTCTTCTGCTGAGCAGGGGAGGCAGTGAATGAATGAAGGAAGGGAGAGAGAGAGAGAATAAAGAGACCATGTGAGCGCTGGCTAGACGCTGCTGCTTGGGCACAAGTGCATGCACAAGTTTGGTTTCGGGCAGTGTCGGTGCAGGAGGGAAAGATTGAAGCAAACCACCACCACTACCACTCGCCAGACACGAGACAGCCCTGACAGTGCAACATTTTCTTCAACTGTTCAGGCTGCCTGTTCAGAATGAGTCGACAAATAGTGCTTGCTTGCTTTTGCCCAAGCATAAGACTCGAATAGCTTTAGGTATAAACAAGCAGTGCCACTTTGAGACAGCAGCAACAGAATATCACTTGCTGGTGGCCACTTTCTTTTTTGCTGCTCTTCTTTTTTCTTTCTTTTACTAGCTCGTAAAATACTTTTTCTTTTTACTTTTTCTCCTTCTTTGTCGGGATTGTCTGTGCAGCAGACGGGGTCTTCCTCTCTTTCACTCTTGCTCACTACCATAAAGTGACGAATGTGTTTGTGCGCGGTCGTCATCTGAATGGCAAGTGCAAAGTGTGTGGAAGTGTGTGGAAGTGTGTGTGCCACAAATTGAGATGTTCATGTTGAGCATCAGCATCACACACATCTGCAGTAGTAGTTAATGAGGCGCCAGAGACACTAATTAGTCACACACAAATACACACACAAGTACTTTCACTCTTACTCTCATTCACATCTGCGCCTTCTACTTTAAAAGCTTTCAATGGAAATTAAATTAACAAAATGGGTAGATGAGAAGGAGAGACACTCGATTTGTCGAGCGGATGTGTGCGGAACACGGTCGCTAAAT